TTATGCTTATGAGCAGTGTGTTAAAGGTGCTGTCTGATACATCACCTTCTTCTTGCCTATACAGTATGTATGCTCACCCTCCCCTTTCTGCCCTCTATTTCTGTTGCTTGTTATTTAAAACAGAAGGTTAATAACTTGGAGCCTGAAGGCACATGGCCAAGAACTGATCCAAGCACTACTGGATTTAAAAAATCCAGCTTCAAATGTTTAATCCTTGCTAAACTGTCACAGTTTGATGCAGCCTGGGTTCCTAAAGAGCTTCAGCCCAAACACTGAAAGCCAAAGGTTGGGATATCCTGGTAAATCCAAGTAAATATCTGAGAGGAGCTATGGGAGGGTATTTATTTCAGATGTGGTCTTTGGGAGGAAAAATGCTGCATCCCTGGGTTTGCCTTGTGGGATGGGAGCAGGATATGGCATGAGCAATCTCTGCTGGGGGGTGCCTGTGTAGCCAGGGTGGCCCATGGCACTGGGAGAGGCTGCGGTGGGGACTGGTGCAGAGCAGGGGCATGATCCAGCCCAGCCAGGGGTCACATTCTGGAGCAGGAGGGAGCATCTTGCAGCACAGCTAATTCAGAGCAGCCCCTTGAGCAAAGACTAACCTGTGCCTAATAAAGGTGTTGTTTAAACCGAGTCTGCTGCTGCCTTTTGTGTGTTGGGGCAGGAAACTGTGACCGGGCTGAGCTCCCATCTTTGTGTTGGGATGTTGCAGAAGTAGCTCTGCCAGTGATGGAGAAACGTGAATGGCCAGAACGGACCCAAGCAACCCAGCTCCATCTGCTGCTTGCCAGAAGGAAAAGGGGGGAGGCATGAGCCTGGTTTCCATCCCCATGGAGGTGATGGAGGCCAGAGCTGGTAGGGGGTGGCCACAGCAGCCATCAGGCTGGGGCGTTTGATCCGGGCAGAGCAGCGTTCCACGAGGTGGCAGCAGCAGCTCTCCTTCCTGCGTGGGGAGATTCCCACCTGAGGAGACCCCAACCTGTGTGTGCCTGGGAGCACCTCCTGCGAGAAAGGCCCCTCGTAAGGCAAGGGAAAAGACCAGCAAGAGCAAACTGATGGCGAGGAGGGGAAAGGGTGAGCTAACAGAGAACAGCAACAGGCCCTGGAGCTGCACGCCCTGGCAAGTTATACTTAGATCCTGTTCCTTAGCTTCAACTGAACGTAAAACTGGAATCTTGATGTCAGGAACAGTGTTCCTGCTCTTCCCACATCAGGAGGTCAGGTTGCACCTTCCCTGTCCATCGCACAGAGAGGGCTAGCTATTCTTCAAAGCAAATCCATACAATACTGTGGTTACAGACCATGGTCCAACTTCTCGAAACCCCACAAATCGGGACTGTGGAGCTCCTTCGGGTCCCCTGTAGCCCCCAAGCCCTGGCAAGGGAGCTGAGCTTAGCAATGCTCTCTAGGAAGGCTGGTAGGACCCCACAGCACACGGGGCTGGGGCTTGGGGGCCAGTTAGGGAACACAACAGCACAAATGGGAGCCACAGGCACTATCTGAACCCTCCAGGGCAGCTCCTATGCACAGCTCCTGCACCCAGCCCAGGGCAGGGGCTCACTCTGCCTGCACAGCATTCTCCCATCCCACTGCCCTTGAACTTGAGCCCACAACCCCTCATCTCTACATCCTCACATGGCTGGAAGCCCACCCCAGCACCGAAGGCCAGAGATGGGCGGCCCAGGCAGGGCTGGGGTGGGCAGAGCTGTGCACAGCATCCTTGGTCACCCTCCCAAACCTATGGGGGCTGGAGCAGGGAGAGCTTGGGCAGCCCCTGCCCTCCCTGGGTGATGAATGAGCTGACAATAGGGTATTGATAAGGAATTAACCTTGAGCCCTTCTTGCTTCAATGTCAATAGAGCAGGAGCCAAGTACACACATGTGATTGGAAATCTGTGTTTGGCCTCTGCCGCCTCTGTGCCCATCGATGTGCAGAGAGATGAGGTGGGGGGGGGGATGTAAACCTCCCTGCTGCCACCTCCCCAGCTGGAGCCCCCACCAGTGGGTCCCCCTTGGCTCCCCAAGCCTGCTGCTGCTGGGTTGATCATGGGCACTATGGGGCTGCAGAAGCCTCTGTGTCCCCCCACCTGGCATATGGGGGGCTGGATACCAGCCCCCCCCCCCCCAGTTCCCCCAAAGGGCCTGGGCCCATCCTGCTCCAGCCTCCACTCGGAGCAGTTTGTTTAATTAAGTGTTTTGCCTAATGGGATTGCCTCATTTCCATAACAAACTGGCGGGCTGTCATTAGGTGGGCTCCCTCATTCATTACTGTTAATTAGATATGGATCCCCCAGAAGGCGGCGCCGGGTGATGAACGAGGCCCCTGACACACGCTATTACACATTAGCATTTTCTCAATACCTCCGATACATCACGGGCCTCCGCTTCCTAAAGATATCCTAAATAAAATATTAGCAGCCTGCTGCGGGGCGGGTGCAGGGGAGGAGGGTGGGTTCCTGCCTCTCACCCTGCCCTCAGGCCTCCCATGGGCTGCGATGCTCTGCTTGCTCCCTGCCAGCCAAAGCAGCAGCCAAATCCACCCCTTTCCCCATCTTTCCCCCTGCAGATGGGAAGAGGTCCCTGATGTCCCGCTCCAGGGGACTCCCAGCACCCCATTGCTGTGCATGCAGCCACGGAGGGGGGATGTGTTCAAACCACCCCATCGACCCATCTGCTGAATGTTTGTAAACCAAAAGCATCGGCGCCAGCCCCGTCCCCGCAGCCTCCCAGTGCCTGTTGTTGGGGGTAACCCTATACTGCGGCGGTGGCCCCTAATGCAGGACGTATAGATCTGTTGGGGCTGGGCGCCTCCGGCCCCCAGCTAATGCAGCTGATGAGACTTCATTACTGGGGTGTCCCCTGAGGTGTGCCCTTCACCCTGCCCTCCTGGCACTACGGCACCATCCATGGTGGGGTCTGGAGGGGGTTCTGCCGCTGCATCTGTCCCTGCATCCCAAATAGGACTGGGGCTCTCCTTTGGGATATTGCCAACATCCAGGGCTTGTGTCTCCTCAGCTGCCTCTCGCCTGCAAAGGGAAACACAGAAAGGCAGAAAGCGCCTGAGAAGATTTATACTTGTTTAATTAATGTCAAATGTAGTTTACAAACGGGAGTGACAAGTACCTTTTTGTATAATATACACTGACACACAATCATTGACACACTGGAATATCGCTTTGTGCAACTGGGATTCTTTGGGCAAAGATAGGTAACCCCAATAGGTCTTTTTCAGATCATTTCAACTCATTCCAGAAGAGGGGAAGGGGCGATGCCTGTGACCAACCTCTCTCCCCAGCCTTCCCCCTGCAGCCCCCCTTTGAAAACAGGGGATGGCTTTACAATGAAACCAAAGAAAGCAACAAAAATATAACCCCCAAAACCAAGGACCAATGATGAGTTACATGTGGCTTTACACATATGTACATAGAGCACACGGCTGGTCCACGACACAAAGGCTGGCCTATTCCTAATGAAGGGTTAGGATGGGGTATCCTGCCTCTCAAACCCACTGCACCCTCTCCAAATCCAGCACTCACAGCCCAGCCATACCCTCCCAAAGCTTCCCTCCCACCTTTATAAACCCAAAGTTCTCTGTCCCTGCCCTTCCCCATCCCCAGTGCTGCTGGCTGGAGGGTTACCCATCGCTGCAGCCCCTTCCCCTGCCCATGGGGAGGCAGGACCCTATGGGAGTGCCCCGGCTTCCTCTGGTCCCCAGGCACTCCACAGGGATGTGCCCCCAGGGAGGGGAGGCTGCAGCTCTGGTCTCAGAGGCCACCGTGCTGCTGTGAGTGTGGACACCCAGATGCATCTCAATTGGGAACTGCTGCATTTGCTGAGGTGTTTATAAATACAGCTCCTTCAATTTGGTTTGGGTGCAGTGGGATCCTTCTGGAATCACTTGGGAGATGCCGAGGACAGCAGTTGTTCTCTGCAAAACAGCACCAAGCTCAGGGCAGAGAAGTGGCAATGGGACTATGACTCCAGGCATCCTACCTCCCCATCCCTTCCCTCTCTGGAAACACCCCATCAGCACAGCGGTGCCCAGCTCCAAACCCCTCATCCACTGCTGGCTCTGGACTGTCTTAAAATGCCCCAGCCACTGGATGTGCTTGGAAAGACTCAGCGGGAGTGGAGCAGATGAGCTTCTCCATCTCCCTGTCTTCTGGCTTTGGGGAGCTGGCACCCCATGGCTGCCCGGGAAGCTGGGGCTGGGAGCAGTCAGCACACAGGGCATGCGTTCACCTTGGGAAATGGATCAGAATCTGTTGCCTCGGTCCTGGAGATAAAACAAAACCCAACAAAACAACAGGCCAGATGGCAGCTTTGGTTAAGGCTGAGGACGGGGGACACAGGGACAAGCATGAGGGACCGCGTGGCAGAACCTGGGGCTGCAGGGAACCTCTGGCCCCAGCTTTAAGCATCTCAGCTGGGAAGAACTGGGGACGAGGCAGGGCTGGCTCTCAGCGCCAAAACCCCCTTTGCAAACACAGGCTGGAGGAGGAGAGACCTGTGAGAAGCCAGGGGCTGGCTCTGCAGTGCTGGCTGCCAGGGCACCGAGGGCACCGGCCGAGCCCCTCTCAGCCAAGCCACCAACAGAGCCATCGCTCAGACCCCTCCATCCCTCCCTGTGCCCATCGCTTCCCAGCATCCTGCCTTGGCACAGGGAGCAGCAAAGCAAAGCCAGGCAGGGGCAGGGGAAGGGGCTACGGCCTTGGGGGAGGCACGAGGGGCTCCAGCTCCACACCATTTGCTCCTTCTCCAGCTGGGAAAGGCAAAGGGGGCTGAGGCAGATCCCCCCGCCCTGCCCGGTCCCCTGGCGAGGAGTTAAAAGCCGTGTCTTTCCGGGGATAACGATTCTATTATAAATAGCCCCATTAGCTACAACTAATGACAAAAATCCACCTCCTCTACTCCCCATAAGTTCTGTAAGTTATGGGCAATGCTACAGCCATTACTAAAAGCTGTTAACTTCATATCTGAATGAGGAAATATACACCACAGAACATTAAACCATTTATATTATATATATGTATATATATACTTTGTTTAAACTAATGACTTTAATGCCAAAACTTTGCTGAACCAAGAAAAATATGGGTTTAATGTTCTCTGCTCATTTTTTTTTTCTTCTTCTTTAAAAAAAATACAACCCAAAAAAAAAACCAAACCAGAAAGGGAAACTTATTAGTATGTAATGTTTGAGTCTATCCCATTTATACACAACATTGTAAACATATATAATCTATATTACATGTGCTTCATTTCTGCCTGGGTGTGGGGTTTTTTTTTCCTTTAAACTTTTTCCTTTATCACTAGAACACCACAAAAAACCAAAACGGAACCAAACCAAAACCCAAACCGAACCAAATAAAAACAAAACCAGAACGAAACTGAACGAAGAACACAAGTTACAGGTTATTTAACATCTTCCTGGCAAGGGTCCCTTGTCCCCAGGTCTCCTGGGGGCAGAGTGGTCAACACCACAGTCCAAAGGAGGGCTCACGAGCCATCCGCGATGCAAAGCCAGCTCCAGGGGACGGGTGATGGGGAATACTGGTACTTAAAAAAGGGGGCTTCACAACGAAGGGTTTGGTTTTGCCCGCTGCGGGTGCTGAAGGAGGTCTCAACACGCGGGCCCACTGCTCCTGCATCCTCGAGTCCGTGCCTGGAGTCTCTGCTTTGTTTGTAACCTTTCGTCTTCTCTGAAGTTTAAAACGTCTCTTTTTTTGTTGCTGTCGTTCCTCTCCCCCTTGGTGTGATGGATGAGCTGAGCCGAGTAGCTGGGGCCTGCCCTCCCGCTGGGTCCTTCATAAGTAGATGCGCCGGAGGTCTCCGGGAGACGTGATGGTGTTGCACTGGGGACAGAGCTTCTTGGCACCCTGCAACCGGCAGATGAGATGAACGGTGTGAGAGAGTGAAGGACAACCTGCGTGAGCCTGCCCTTGGCCTGGGACCTCAAGGGGTGCAGCACAGGAGCAGTGAGGCCATTCCACTTCCCCTCCAAGAGGACCATGTTCTCCCAGCAGCAGGTACAAGCTGTGAGAAGGAGAAGCCCCAGTGCCTTTCTTCCCTACTCCGCAAGCCCCTCATCCCACTGCAGTCCTCAACACAAGAGCCCTGGGAGAGAAGCCATTGCAGATGGATCACCCTGAGCCCCATGTCCTGCTGTGCCATCACTGCTGGCTTCTGGGAGAGCTGCTCCTTTCCGCTTCCCTTGCTTACCTACAGCCCTCACTGAGCCAATTCAGGTCACTGAGCAGGCAGAAACCCAACCCAGAAGGAAGAAGTGCATGGTGGGGATAGACCACCCCTTTGAGGCAGCACACCAGGGGGCTGCCTCAAACCCAGAGCTGCTGGCATGAAGGGAACCCCATCCAGTCCCCTCTCAGCTCACAGAGGTGCTGTGGAGATGAGTGCTCTGCCAAGGTGAGCTACAACCATCAAGCTGTGATGTGAGCTGGGTGAGGAAATGGGCAGCCGACATGAAATAAACCAAGGGCTGATGTGCCATCTGTCACCGAGCCTGACAGCAAAAGAGTGTTAATAAGCCTCAGAATCGGGGTCAACCCAAGCCGGTCATCATTAGATTGGCAGATGTGACAGACAGTTGATGAGAAAAATGACAGAAAGATGGCTCTGCTGCAAGGCAGCCTCCCACCTACAGCACCAGCACAGGGAACTGGGATGTCCTGGCTTTCAACACTGACCACAGCATCAACACAACCTCCCTCTGCACACAACTGAGCGCAGGCTCTGTCTGAGCACCCCGAGTTTGCTCACTGCTGTCAGACAGGCCCTCCCAGCAGCTAACACCCAGTGCCCGGTGTGACAAGAGAGCTGCCAGGGATGCAGCATGATGTGAGAGAGCTTGTGGGCTCTCACTGACAGAACTGCAGCCATTCAGTTCAGTGCTGCTCTTTAGCAGGGCTTGTTTCAGTACCTGCAGCAGTGAGTGGGCAGCTTGCAGGACATGGATGGAGTGGCAGGGCAGGACTATGATGTGCCATGCTGCTTTGGCACTGCTGTCTGCACCTTGGTACATCCCTAGCACCACTGCTTACAAAAGGCAAGCATCTTTAGGAAAGGTCCTCTCTGCTCTGTGACAACACCTGCAGAGACAGGACAGGGGCTTTCTCCCCTGGAAGCTGCTCGGATTCAGGAGGATCTGGAGGAGATAATCCCAGATCAGAGAATTGACACAGGTGCAAGTAATTCACAAGGATGCAGCTCCAAAGAGGTGCAAGTCACGTTTGCTCTGCACTACTGAGTACTATCAAAAAGCCCCTGCAGACCAGCCAGCCTTGAACCCTGCTCCCATTGTTCCTGGTAGACACGTACTTTGCATGCTTGCTGCTCCTCAAGCTTTGGACTTCTGAGCAATCAGGCTCTCATTTGAAACCCTTTGCTGCTCGTGGCTGAGCTGCTGCTCTGACACATGCTGGAACCACAGATGCTTGCACCTAAGATCTAAAATAACCATGCATGAAGTCCTGTTGAACTAGAGTTGAATTAAACACATAACAGACACCCAAGACACATCTGACATCACTCTCAGGGTGATGGATAGTGCACCTCGCTGTGGTGCTGATGCCTATGGGCACATCCTTCCAGGTCTGGGACCTATTCCATCCTCTAACTACTGTGCCTATTTAGATTTGCAGCATTCTGGGGCAGGAAGCACTCCCTGTGCCTGTGCAATGCACTGGGCAACCCCATGCACCAGTCTTCGCTGAGTGCTGGATTCTGGGAAGAGCAAGCACAAACCACAGTGGGAAAGAAAGGCTTAAAAGCCCGATGAAACTGAAGACTGACTGCACTGGACTTTAACAGAGCCTGTTTATATAACAAGCCCCTCTGCTCCTGCTTAAGTCCAGAGTTTTGGATTGGAGATCCAAAGCTGCATTAGATAAGGACAAGCTCTCTGTCCCTCAATGTCCCAGTGAAAACTTCCTGCAGCAGTTACAACAGGTAGGACAGAAAAACCTACCCACCTGCCCCTTCTGCCACATTTAAAACCACTGTGGGTCAGGCTACATAGCAACACTGCCCAGGAGGGGCTCACTGAGCTGGATTCAAATGTCACAAACCAGCCTGTTTCAGTTGACTCCCTGCTCAGGCCTGCATTGCCATGGAGTCCTCAGAAGTGCCTGTTGCATCTGGTTGGCATCTTCAGATCATCTCTGTAGCTGAAGTGTCCCAAGGGAAGTGGCAGGGAGGTGCTGAGGGATTAATTCACACCGCGTTGTCAAAGGGGCAGCAGCTGGCAGCTGCCCGTGCGAGCCCTGACATGAAGTGTGCATGGGGACTTTAAGGCATTCCAGATGTGACTCCTGCACACATCTGTGTCCATGCTCTCCTTCCCTAGACAGGCACAGCTTAATGGCAAGAGGCAGCAAAGCATCCAACCAAGTAGCTGGAGCCTCTCCTCTGGACAGTGCACTGGGGAGAGAGGTACCTTCTGCAAGACCAGCCTCCTGACCCATCAAACGCCTCGAAGGCTGCTTGCTGCCCCCCTGTTCCTCAGTGCTCCTGTGCAATGCTGAACAGCACTGCAGTAGTTATTCCCTTTTAGCTCTGCTGAAGCTGGAGATGTTTGTCTGTTGGTGCGTGGGGAGGAGCTCCCCCTTGAGTTAATTCCTTCTAAATCCAAACCTCAGTGCTGCCATCTCACTGCATCCCGTGCTCCCTTCTGGGATCTGGAGTGAACTAAGCCAGCCACAGGCATGTGTATGTGGGCCGCTGCAAGGGCAACCTCGCTAACACATATCAGAGACCTCCTGATGGGAAATTCTGGAAGGACAGGCTCCTGGAAAGTCTCTCCAAAGGCTGTGCAGGTGCTTGCTGTAAGCACAAGTGCTCCACACTCAGCCCACAGGATGGCAGAACAAGCCTGATTAAACCACTGCAGCTTTGCTCTCTCTTCCATGGCAAAGTAAGATCAGGTGTGTAATTCCTTCACACCACAGGGAAGGAAACATGAGTGGATTTGCCCTGCCAGACCCCGGGATCTCTGTCCTGGAGGTTTGCTTTCTACATCACACGCTGACAGCTGTAGGGAGACCCACTCTCCCATCTAAGGCTGAGAGCTGCACATGTGCAGCCAGGGCCATGTTTTCAACCGTGCCAGAAAGCAGAACCCAACCACGTGTAGCCTGACCCATTTTCTCCAGAAGCTTCATGATCACAGACTGATTTAGGGCAGTGGTGGATGTTGCTTCACCTGTACGTGGGAAGAGCAGCTCTTCTCGAGCTCTGAAGCCTGCGTACATTGGAGAGAACAATGGCATCCTAGAGCTCTTCAGCAGCCTGGCCCGGATGCTGTGCAGGCTGACTGCACAAGGCATGCTGGGCTTGGGTCTCCGGGTCTCCCTAGTACTTATGCTTGGTATTAAACAGTTCAAGCAAAAATAATGACTTTGGACCCTTGGGGAAGCCTTTCTCTTTTCTCTTTTTCCCCCCTTTTAAATAAAACTGTCATCCCCTGCACACATAAGCATGTGTGTTAAATTGAGAACTAAGTCCTGGTTTTTTTTTTAGTCCTTTTTACATTGAAATTGCTTAGAACTTCGTTCCTTACATCTGACTTTTCGGTGTAGGTGTGCAGCATTTATTGGCATGAGCGTTTAAGCTCTCCTGTCTTGTAGAGAGGCACATAAGCTTGTACACACACACATGCTGGCACAGGCACAATGAAAAAGCTTTTGCTCCCCCACTGCTCACCTGCCAGCTGGGGTTACTAAACTTTTCCCTTGAAATAAAAATGCTGTGGAATAATAAGTCCCACCTGTCGGCCATTTCTTTCTTTCTTCTTTTTTTTTCCAGGTCCTTCTGCTCCTTTCATCATGGCTTCATGGAAAAGCCTTGATGTGTTATAGCTGCGTGTGCTGGAGTAAAGGCCACCTCAGCTTTTCCATTATAAACCCCAGTTTTGAGGGGTTTATAAAACTCTGCTGCAAGAAGTTTGCTCCAGGGCTGCTACAAAGCAATGCAAAGGGGCTGGAAACCAGGATGGAGTTTATTTTTTTTCTTCTCCTTTCTTAATTAAAATTTGGCAAGTGATTGATCTACAATACAGGCTAATCACTTGGGGTCCTAGTTTGAAAAATACATTAACGAGAGCTGAGATGTTGAGAAGTTGTTAGGGCTCAGATGGTGCCAGGAAGGATTGGAGGAGTTTGTCTTAAAGTTGCCTCTTAAAAACTAAGAAATGGTGTGACGTCTGCTATAAACTGGCTAAAACAAGAAAACTCAAAAGGAAGGATTTAGGCACTTCCTGCTGTCCTGTGGGTCCTAAAAATGGGCCATTTCCAAGCTGAATATACTACCAGGCACAGGGAATAAAGAGACACACACAGAGCAACTTTGCCTACACAGTGCTACCATCAAACCTAGGCTTAAAGCTTGCCTAGCTTAGAGGTAGGAAAACCTCTAAAAGGTGTCAGGAGAGACCCAAACTAAGAGCCAGCTTCTGCTAGGAGGAGAACCGAACTCCAAGATCCAATTCCCAACAGAGGCAACAGCCCCTCTCCCTCCCCTGTCTCCACATGAAGTGGCAGCTGCTTCTCTGCAAATACTAATTCCCAGAGAAGCAGCCATTCACTGCCATTGTGGGGTTTCTACCGGTCATCAGGGTTAAAGCAACCAGGAGAGCAATCTTTATCACAGAGACCCCCCCAAAAGGGTGGCGATCACCCCCACAGGTTGTTGGGAGGCCAAAGCTGAAGTATGTTAATAAATAACTGGGTAACCTCATAGCAGATAGAAACATAGTGAAGGATCGAGCACAGCACTGTCCATGCAGCCGCTGATCCAAAGGTCCCTATGTTGCTGGAAGCACTAAGGAAACCCCAGAAAGACTGCTCTGTAATGTGCACTGTTCTTACAGACCTGCTCCAGCCCACATGGGACATACATTATTATAGCCCAGAAAAAGCGATGAGGCTAAGAATGCAGTAATCTACCAAAGATATAAATGTGTCAACTGCAGAGCATGCACATCTATCGATGGATCCCCTGGAAGCACATTCCCTGTGAAGAAGGCTTTTTAGAAGTGGTATTTTCCTGCTCTGGCAGTTGTCATTTTCAAATAGGCCCAAGACAGGCAAGCACAAGCCTGAGGTCAGCAAATACACACAGGAAATGCTGGATCCAGTACAGGTGATGGGGAAAACTCAGCAAATGGCATCTGCCCAAATAAACCTGCCCTCTTTCAGCCCCTGCCTGCTTGCACCCACTAACAGCTCCATCATTGACTTAGCTTTGAATGCTATTTACTTCATAAGGAAGGACACCAGGGTTTGGGAGATCACAGAACTATAGCTCAGAGGGACATCAAGAACTCACTGACCCATTCCCCAGCAAGATCACCTCAACCTGAATTACTGCTGACGGACACGCAGCAAACCTGTTCTCACACACCTCCAAGGATGGAGGCTTCAAACCTCTCCAGCAAAGCACTGCAGCAGATTGCCTGTGTCCACTGTCAGAGCACTCTTCCCAGGAGAAGGAAAATATGAATCTCAGGTAGCTGAAGATCCCTCTCAAGTTAATGGGAAGGATGGAGAAGAGTCAGATAAACCTCTACCAGAGGGAGATTCATCCCCCATCACCCAGGGACTCAGGGCTGCAGTCCAACAACCCACAGAGGATAGATACCTGCTGCTAGGGGGGCTGACATCCAGGGAAATGAATCCCACCTCCTGCTGCCCAGGCTGAGCTTCCTTCCTGCAGCACCATTCCCTCTCCTGTCTTGGAAGAGCCTGCACATGTTTTCAGGACTTTCCAAAAGGGATCAGAGGGAAGTCATTCCAGGCTTATATCCCAGTTTCCATGTTCCTTGAAGATGTCAACTAGATCTCTGCACGCAGGAAGGATGAATGAAAAGTACCACCATGTTGAGTGCCCAGACAACCAGCAAGCAGGGAGTAGCAAGCTCACTGGTGAGATTTGACACAGCAATACAAAACCAGCAGACAAACCCAGGATTTCCTGGGAACCTAGGCACAACTACATGGCATCAAGCAACACCTTCTTGTATCCCTCTGCTTCCTCCATTCTCTGTTTTGCATACAACTACAGAGCTGCCCACAGTGTATACAGTGTACAGCACATCTTTAACCTGTGGCCCCTGGACTGAAGCCCTCAGGGAGTACAGTTCTGCTCACATAGCAAGTGGAAGGAGAGAAAACCATTAAACTCATCATGACCTGATTCTGGGTGAAGGGATGGCTCCTCCCTTTCTCCACAGCACTGAGGTGCAGTCTAACTCAGTAGGCACCAAGACCTCAGTTCTCTTAAGCCATCTCCAGGGCTCCTTTCTGCAGCCCTAGCCTTTCCTTCATGTTAATCCAACACACCAACAGGAGACAGAGATGGAGTCTCCTCTGGTGAATGTTTCAACCCCCACAACTTGAAGCCAGTTTGATGCACTCAGCTCTAATATAATGGTGCCAAAGCTAGAGAGCCCAGCAAACATTTGTAGAGTCAGTGGTTAAATACATCTATCCCTCTCGCTTAGCAACAGAACAGTTATAATTTGGAACTGGACATCAAGAGCCCAAAGTCCAAAAGCTTCATCTTCAGAAAGCCCAAGTGCTCTAAAGATCCAATCCTCATCAGTGCCCTAGACATCACTGAAGTCAGGGTATACCAGAGATGCTCAGATCCTTGTAGAATTGTATCCTAGAAAATGCTTAAATCTTTTAAAACCCACTTCACCTCCTCTGGTCTATAGACAGAGGTGCACATCAAATTTCACCCTGTCTTCAATACCCTGCAGAGGTTTAGAAGTGCTCCCAGGCACTCTGAGCCTCCAGTTCCAGGGCCCTGTTCAATACATGGTCCTTCCTCTCTCTCTCTCTCAGACACACTCACACTCTAATTTAACATTAGATCTTGGCTGGGCACACAAACCACAGGCACATAGGAGAAAGGGGACTTTTCAGCAGCAGGGATGGCAGATCTCCAGAACGTTCAAAAGGGGCCGGAAGCCCGACACAACCCACCCGCCCCAGCTCCTATTAACTCCAACAAATTGTTTATTGCACAACACAAGAAAAACGTTGCCCCTTTTCCCCGGCCAAGTCTTTCCATGTGTGCTGCACGCGCAGGCTCCCTCCTCCTGCCCCCGCTAGGGAGCCAGCTTTATACCCAGGGAAAGGTAACAGCGGCGATTATTACACACACTATCCCACAGCTCCTCGCTTGTTAAAAAACACAAGAGTCTCTTTTGTGCCCGAAATAAAAGGAGATACCTTAATTAGAACAATGCAGGTTGGTGAGCATTAAACACTGAGCCCAGCTGCTGTATGCCATTAAATTCATAAAAACAAGGAGGGGGGAAGGAGGGCAGTCTTAACGAGATTACACACATTGACTTTGATCAAGACACAAAAGCACCAAGGCGTTCCAGGGTTTTTATTGCTGTCTTCAGGCTACATTTTAATGGTTACATTAGAAACATGCGAACACAGGCTGGGAGATGTTTTTTGAGACGGGAGAGGGAGTGCAAGCATGCCTTGTGAAAAGGCCTGCTTTAATAAATTGGGGGCTGCAGGGAGAGGCTGGGGCTGGGGAACACATGAGTAGCCACTTATTAATTGCTTCCCCTATGCAAGTGCCAAGTCCTAATGTGATGTCTTGCTGGACTATTCCCATCCCTCCTGCCTGGTTGGCAGAAGAGCCGCATGCGGGGAGCACACAACCAGCTCCATCCCCACCTTCCGTAGGGAATTCTAGAGGAGATGGCTCCCCCCCCTGCAAGGGTAAATGCTAATCACTGAGTACCTGGAATGGGATTTCCCCATCCCCATGAGCAGCAGTAACCACAGTACATGAAACAAAGGGGCCTGGACTGAAGTTGAACTAAGTTGCTTCTGAGTCTAAGAACAACCTGAAATTGCTGCCATGGATTTAGAAGATGACTTGAGGCTGGTGGGAAGAGGAGAGGACAAAGACTTCAGAGTAAAGAGAATGAGACAGAAATCAGTGTTTTATCCTCTACTACAGCACTGCTAAAGGACAAGATTACTCTTCACTTAGCAAAGGTGGCAGAGCACACATTCATCCAAACACCTCCCAGCTACGTATCCACATATGTGTCTTTTATAACATGCTGCTAAAATGTTTACAAAAGCTTGTATAATCTAAATAGTGACGGGGTGTAGCTGAAGAGCTATAAAATACAGCCCAAGGGATAGCCAAGTTATTGAGTTGCTATTAGTACTCAAGCCCACAGGCACTTCACCATCCTGGTAACTTTTCTTGGACAAGACTTTTAAAAGGCAGGATTTAAAGGAGTATGATCAGCTTAATCATAATTCCAAGCACACAACGTGTTCTATAAAGTAGACTTTGTAATGCCTTACAGGAACAGTTTTTAGGAGTGGCATTCCCTTGCATTTTTTTTTGCAACCCAACACTGTATCATCTTGCTAACAGGAGACACATAAATCATAACTGATTGTTTTCCACTCCCCAGCCTGGGCAAAATGAAAGCTTGAAAATCAGCTGCACGGGGGACATTAAGGGCTGATTATAAAGGCCACAGTTATAACACAGGAAAGGAAAACACTTCATTTAATAATGTCCTAAATTTTAACCTGATCTCCTTTAATACATGTGTAAATTACTACTGCACTGGGTCACCTATCCAATGTTCAAGGCAGCCCCCAGTCTTCGAAACAGAATGGCATACACCTGAAAACTGCACAGTGCTATTTCAAATAATATGAAAAATACAGATTCATATTCATAAAAGCTCCCTTTCATATCTTGTATCCTGAAGATGATTCCCTTTGCTTCAGGGGGAATATTAAGTTTCTCAGAAGCTACCCATTCCATGAAATCTCAGTGGATTTGGCCTCCCTTCTCACAACCTCACCTTTCTGCGTGGCTGTCCCAGAGGAAACTACTGTAAGACACAGTTGTCCCCAGCACAGAGCTCTTACATGAGCAATGGCTGTCCCCACGGCAGCAGAGGAGCAAGCAAGGGGCAGGGTTACACTTTGGTCATGATGACTTCAACAAAACTCATTTAAGTCAAAGCTAGAATGGGGTTTAGACTGTAAGGCTTGGGAAGTCTGCATGCACAGCACTCAGTTTAAAATAAAGCAAAAAGCACCTTTCCCTGTGCTGATTTACAATAAAGTATCCCAGAAGAGAGGAAAAAGCCTGCAAGACAACAAGAAAGTAGCCAAGAGCCTCACCAGAGTCCGCAGCCAGCATTCTTCACAGTGCACATGCCAGCACTGAATGGAAGTCAGGGGCATTGTGTAGGAGTCCTGAAGAAAAGAAGCAAAGAGATTATTGCCACAGAAGGAATCTACTGATCCTTTGCTTCCAACCCCATCACAATGTCCTTCTTTGGGGATAACATTGCTTTCTATTTTGTATTAAAAAACGTAAGCTTGTGCAATATGTAAGTTTGTATTTTTGTAATGTTTGTCTAGTAGAGGCAGAAAGTCTCCTGCAGTCCCTTTTTCTGACTTCTCAGAACTCCTGTTGGAAGCCCACAATCCACTCAAGTGGTGACCTGGCTCAGCACAGTTATCTCAGGAGCATCCGAAGGTGCTGTGGCCACCTGCCATCACCCTCATCAGAAGGTCACAGAGCATATAAAAACCAGTGACAGGATAAGATTAATCCTTACCACAACTCTTAATTTGGCAGGAACAGTTTAACCGCATCCTAAGAGTGCTGCTGCAATGTCAGTAGGCAGGCCTTCTCTTGAGTATTTTCTATCATTATGAATAAACCTCTGGAAACCAGCAGCAAGCTGCTGAACCTGAGACACGAACTGTGCTCCCACACCTACAAGTCGTGAGCTGGGGGAGAGAGCAGCATGCATCAACCTGAAGCTGCTGAGGGAGCCTCCACCAAGCAGAATATTCTCCTATCAGCAGGATAAAAACCTAACAGGAGATGGGAAGCTTTACAGGCTCACACCATCAGAGGGAGCTGCTGCTCTTCTTTAAGAAGGCCACAGCATCACCACAGAGCAAGCAGGACATCGACAACTTCTAAGCGCCCAAGCAACGTTCCTGTTTCCAAATCACATTGTGAGTCTCAGATCACAGATTCTGCTCTCTCCTATGGATGTAAATCTGTACATGCAGGAAGGGGAAGCTGTTACCTGGGAGTTTTGTATAGGAAGGCTGTAAGTTGTCTCAAGTTGTGGCTTTTCTACCCCTCATACAAACGGACAGCTACAAATACCAGTGGAACAGTGTAATGCATATACAAATTCAATTGCTAAAATAACCCAGCACCTTCATATAAAAAGCTGATTGGTGTAGAGGCACAAAGGTGAGTTCCTCCACTCTATCAAAAAAAGGAGAAAAGCCTCTCTCCTCCTTAGCAAAGATACCAAGGCATTTCTGATTCATTACCACAAGTGGAGTGCTACTCACCATGCAAATGAGACATTTATAACGGTCCCCACGGGAAAGCTGCCTTTCTAACTCACGGACACGAGCCTTTAACGCTTCAAATGTTGTCACTGCCGAGTCTTCTGTAATTCTGCAAAAGATGATGGAGAGTGAGCATCACTGAGCACACAAGACTGGTAAGAGTTTGGGGAGAAATGGATCCCGTAACAGGTACCGCACAGGAAACGGCAACATCCCAACTAATACATCCAACTTGGGGTGCAGAAGAATTCCTGGAAAGCCCAGTGTGAATTCTTTGGGGTGTCCTACTAAATACTTCCAAACGCATCATGACAGAACACAACGGTGCTGGGGTTGCCAGCTTCACAAAGAGCAAGTTTCTGCAAAACACAGGTATTTAAGGAACAGATTTGTTTTTTGCCTCTTATCCCCCTTAAGGATTCCTCTAGGATGAAATGCTCTGGATAAAGTTCTGTACATTGCTCTCAAGCTGGTGAGATAACTTTCTGTAGACAATAGGAGCTACTCTTCCCCATAGAGAATAAATGTCTTTGCTGGCCATCAACCTTGTAAAACACAAAACCAGCTCATTACACAAGATAACACAACCCTTTTATATTACAGGAACTCCTAGCTTTTTAGGCTCCAACACTGAAAAAAAGAAGAAAACAAAGCAATGGACACTGTGCCAAAGGGGTGGCTATAAAAGCAGCTTTACAATCTCTGCTTTCCCATTTCCTAGGGTCATTTTTGATGGGCAGCATTATCTCTTTTGTCACACAGGTGCTGTGCTGAGGGCAGACAAGTGTATTTTCATGGTTCTGCAAGGCTGGTGCAAAGAGCAACTTGCCAACCTAAAAGCAAGGGCAGACAGCAACGCTTAGCAAATGAGGCAGGGAGCAATGCAGACAAGGATGGGTCACTCCAGCATGCTGCAAAATCCCCATTTCTACTGTGCAGACAGGGAGGGACCCTCAAGCATTCCCCAGAAAAGGTTTAGAGCATTGTATTGACATTAAAGCTTTCACTCTTATGAAAAATCAAACCAGCAATTTTCATGTAAGTCAGTGAACTTCAGGTCTGTCCAAGCTGAACCAGCTCAGAAGAACCTGCAAAATACCCTCACCACCAGGAGCTGCATCAATCACAGCATAACCCACAGCGGCACCTACATGTTCTGCCTTTTTAGAGCATGATTCATCAACAGGTGTCTAAAACATAGGTCTAGTGGAATCACTGCAACTAATAAAGTGAGCTGCAGTCTCAGTACTCCTACTGCACGCATACATTCACTCCTTTGTTCATTAGTCACTTATTGCCAGCACGCAGGGAAGAACCTGAGGTATCTCCCTTGAGGTGACTGCTGGCTTCTCCCAAGGCTCTGGAAACAGAACTAGTTAAAAACCTTGAGTGATTGTCTAATTATGACACTTCAGAAGAAACCGCAGCGGCAGGAGTGTGTCTGGTTTAAGTACCAGTGTTACAGAGCTCCTCCAAGTTCACTCCTGCCCTTGCACGCATCAGACGCTCTCTGCACGAGTTAACTGTGGGAAGATCTTCATCAGGAGGCTCATTGCAAATGACAGCTGCTGTGAAATGGTAACGGTTTTAAAGCTGCAAAAAAGGCAAAGAAACGCACATGTCCTGACAGACCAGTGGGTGAGGATTGCCTGGGGACAGGGACACTGTGGATTCAAGTCTGCATATCCATAAATATTCTTTGGAGTGAAATGAAAGAGCTTCAGTATCAGACAGTGCTCCCTGCTGTGAACCACCCACTTGCTCCTACTCATTGGTATAAATTATTACCACATCCCAGCTTGGGTTCTCACCCTCAAGGAAGAGTTGTTAGTGTTTTCAAAGTCTAAAAGGTGTTAGTTTTGTCCAAGGAAGAAACAGAACTATTTATTTATAGCTTGAAGACCATTCTTGAGTGAGAAAATTGCTTCCCTTCCAGTCTGGCCCATCAACAAGCTGATGCTGGATGAAGGCTGCAGCTGACTTTCTGGAATCCGCTTCTTCCAGCATGAGTAAGGGCACTGGAGGTGTAAAGGCAGTGAGTGTGGATTCTGCCAAAAGCAGGTGGGCAACACTTGCTGAATTCTCTTATTACTATCTGTGGAGCTATCCCTCCTCTGAAGGGCAGGTGGCTCAGCAAGGGAAAAGTTGATTCCGTGAACAGATCCAAGCGAAGGGATATTCATCCCCAAGCCCACCCCAATAACACTCAAAGCTTGAAAAGGAAAAATTTGCCACTGCAACAACCAGAGGAGATAGAAAATGGCTTGTTTATAAAAGCCTAAATGGCTGACCCCCATCGGCCAATTTCGGAAAGTCTCCCAGATAATTGTACCTGTCCAGTAATAAACGAATGAATCAGAAAAGGAGGCTGAATCAAGGTATAAGCAATAATGCTCAGAGGCTGCCTGATACAATGGCCAATCAATAGGAGGGCTGTAGATCAGGGTGCTAGTTAGCTGGAAAATTACCGCACTGCTGCGTGCGTCACGCTGTAGGGATCCTGGACAATCAATGTGGGAGGTATTGATTTAGTTATTATCACTTCATACGCTCCAGACATTGTTAAATATACATTTATTAACAAGGCTGGGGTGCATTGGTAAGAGAAGGAGCTTTAGCCACTGCAGTATCTCCCAGTGCTGATCAAAGCTCAGCTGTGACAGACTTTAAACTCCATGTTCTCCCTGCCAAGTGTGCATTCAGGACAAATCCTGACGCACAGAGTAGTGCTGAAGATGCAGCTCCTACCTCAAAAAACAGAGGTTTTGGCTGTAAGCGAGTATTCTGCACTTGAGAATTCAGAAAAGCCTCTTGGAGCAGCAGCAAGCAGGGACAAGGCAGCCAAGGGTCAACCCAAAGTGAATGATAATTGCATGGCTGCTTCCAAAAAGCCAGAGGAAATGAGGTCAAGGGAAATAGGGAGAACATTAGTAAATAAAGGAAACTGGAACTACCTCCAGGGATAGAATAAAGACAAGAGTCACTTCCCATGTGTCTGGCTCCCGCGGTGGCCAGCACACTTGGGACACATGCCATTCCATTTAGCAACATTTTACCGTCAACCTGCTGCTTGTATCCTAAAGATAAGCATCGCTGAGGAGCAACTCTTCCTGCAGCAGCAATCTTGGGAACTCCCTCAGGCTTCCCTCTTCCGTGCGCACCTCATGTGCGCTTGCCCGGACGCAGCTGGAACCAGCTCGGGCAGCGTTTTTACAGGGCAATGCCAGGGTGGAGTGAGGGTCAGAAAGCCAAGCTCCATGGCCAGGGTAAGGCTGTGTACAACTTACCTTGCCAAGGGAGGCAGAGGGAACTGCAGGGAAGAAGGAACTGGCTTCCACAGCCAGCCCTGCTCTCCCCGCTTTGCCTTGACCTCATGCTGGATATAGAAGGACTCTTTGACCAATTTTGTGCCTCAGCGCTCTGATTTGACGTGTTTGGGTAACGTCATTTATCAGCCTCCAGAGACCTGCTGAGCACAACTGCTGCCAAGAGCAATGCCTGGACCCCCAGCCCTTGCTCTTCTGGGGTTCCAGAACATGCGAGCGGCCTCACTGATGCCTGAACTGGCTGAGGACCTATCAATGGGCACATTCATGCTCTATAAGCTGTGGACCTACATCACCACAAATGGGAGTGTGAGCAAGAACATTTATACAAGAGCAAGAGCATAAAGGGCTGGCTTCTTGCAGAGGAAGCTTGGTCCTGCTGGACTTTGCAGTTAACTCTTCAGCAACTCGGCAGTCACAGTTGAGGAAGGTGGGTACCAAGAGGCAAGTGTGCGAAACTGGGCACACAGCATGTGTTAATTTTCAGCCTTTGTGCTAAATGCATGTTCTACTGTTCGCAGCATCTCCCCCTGAGCACTGAAAATAAGAACAAACTTTCCTCCCCTGAGCAAATCCGTGCTTTGTTCAGGTAAAAGACCAGAAGAAGGGCGTAAGAATACCCTGGGTAAGGAAAAAGCACCTATCTGTAGCTTTGAGCTGTTAGTCAGCAGTCACCTCCCGGGAAATTCCCCTGGGAATCAGCTGCCCCCCTCTTTGCAAAAGGAAAAATAGACTTTAACCCAAACACTGGTTATTTGTTAAACATTAGCATGCATGTGATCTTTGTTTCTCCAAATTAAATCGAGCAATTGCTACCCGCTGTCCCAGTGGGCAATCACAAGCAATTCCGTTAATTAAATTATCTCTGATTCTGCAGCTCTGGAATCTCTCAATTGACTAAGTCTGTGCTTTATCATCAACAAAATACTGGACGGAAAAGGAAACAAAAAATGCTGATGTCAAAGTGATCAGCTTCAGTTAACCCTTCCCAGCTGGATATCAAGGGCTACTCAAGAAACTGTTGCACTGGAACGAGCCCAAGAGCAAGAGCCTTGTACCAGAGATACCAGTAGCAGCTGTTCACTTGTGTTCCCTTTTCTTTATGCAGAAAAAACAATCCACCACACTATTACAGCCTCCAGTATCCTGCGTATCTGAGAGCCACAGAAAGATGCAAACTGAAGAAGCAGAGAAACACCTCAAAGATCTGTGAGCCCCCATCCTCCCTTTACCCAGATCTCTCTCCATGTACCCTGATGCTGACAAGTCTCCATAAAACACTCCCCTCTGGTTTATTTCAACTGGATATAAATTTCCCTTTCTTCATAAATGGCCACACTGTACACAGCATTCCATAAATTTTTACAATTCCACTGTTTGTATGTACCTTGTAAAAAACGCTTAGCACTGATTAAATGCACCACCAATAAAATTTCACAGGCTACTTTTGACACTTGATATTCTGACCTTCTTCCCTCTTCCACATGTATTTATTTGTGTTTTCGTATGCCTGTAAACACAGAGTGGAAAACCTACAGTACTGCTGATAAACCCAAGAGTGATGTCTTCATTCTTAAACAAAGCCTTTATTTTCCCTTGTCTGAGGTGAAGAACCTGATCCCAGCAGAACATACATGCCTCTTCCCTGCACCGGGGCCAGAGGTCAGGTCGCTAGCAGCTTACATATCATAAATATTAGAAACAGACTGGTCGATGCTTTGAAGACAGAGTCAAACTAAAGTAAGATTCCAGGAGCAGAGAAATTGCTCCTGGCCATATCCAA